TGGCCTAGGGAATTTTAGTGGGGCTTTTAAGGGTAATTTTAAGGGTAATTTTAATGATTGGCCTTTTCAAATATTTTCTTTTAATTTGGTTTTAATATAGATATGTATTGTATTGTGGTTTTATAAGGCTGTTAGCCGCCCTGAGTCCGGTGAGGAGAAGGGCGGGGTATAAATTAAATTATTATTATTATTATTATTAAAAATATTTACAGTAAAATAATATTGTGCTTAAGTGCACAGCCCTAATATTTTATGTATCATCAGAAAAGAATGTGTATGTGTAGATAAATAAATATATATCATATATATCACAGAAACATAAATATGTGCATATAAAACATGCCGTTACACACAGATGTGTATGCTTTTGCATTGTGTATGGGTATGTATTGACATAATCTATATATGGAATGTATACTGTACTGAATGTATACATTGGCTTCAAATTCAAAAGGTGTTTGGATGCATAGGAGTGTGAACATCGCATCTGTCCATTAACCTTTAAAGCAGCTGTTCCTTTTTTGGGGGTAGCCATGTATTTCCCAGAAAAGACACAGTTCCTTTCAAATTCTATTGACAAGTGCTATATTCTCCCTCCTCCGTATGCTCCAAAACACCTTTCTAAATTATTCTAAACTTTTGAAATGTGAGTGTATGTGGTTTTGTTTATTCATTCATACTGGTGAAGAATAACCCACTTTAATTACTGGAATCAGTTCCAGATCTTCATCTACACCAGAAAAAAAAAGTAAAAAAGTGCAATATATTTGATAAAATGTAGTTCTACTTTTTTTTTCTGCCTTATCATATTGGCATGTTGTTCACAACATTCACCAACCTGCAACTTTTACAATGTCTCATTTGAATGTAAAGTTACATTATGGTGAATGTTGTATGAACAAATCCCAGGCTGTTGTGCTTTGTCTCTTTCTTTTCTCTGGAAGAGAAGGAAGAATTTAAAGTTGGTGCTTCTGTTTTTATTGAAGTGGAGTTTAAGGCCATCTTCCTATACTATACTGTGGTTAACAAAAATCTATGAGCTTTATAAGGCATTGTTGAAACTTGGTTTTTTTTTCAATAAAAATCACTGATTCTGACCACTATCGTTCTATATTAAGATATAACTTTAAAAATTAATTAATTAAAAATTGAAAGGAAAGGTCCAAGCATCCCAGAACAAGACAAAATAACTGGGAGTCAAGCTTAATTTGAGAGAGGAGAAGATGGAATAGTGTAATTGGAACGCACAGACCTAAAATTCATTCAGGGAATTTTAATGATATATCCAAACAAAGCAGTGTATTATTTATTCTTGGTATCAGGTTACAGTTACAGAATTGTTGTAATATTCTAGAATTTTAGTATATAATTATATGGCATACATTTAATTCAAACAACTGTTTGGTTTTAATGACTTTCTTTATTAATAAGGTATCATCATTTACTATATTATTCTCCGAAATGGAGTTGAACATTTCAGAGGAAAGGAACTGAGCTTCATGGACACCAGTGATATTCAACCATACCAGGAATACTCATATCTATTACGTGCTTGCACTGTGGCTGGATGTTCAGACAGTAGCATGGTAAGTAAATCTTTTAGTAAGTTGGTGACAGCTATGGTAGCATATCTTCTTCTCCTTCATCATGTTGTAGCAGCCTTCAGGAGAGAACTGAAAATATGGAAACATTCATCTTTTGGCTACATATTTTGATATTTCCAGAGGAACTTTACCAGCCCCCTTGTGCTACAGCCCAGCACAAGAAATGGGAGAAGTCAACTAGTTTGGCCAAACAGCATGTAAATTCCTGTATACATTTGGGTACTCAGCTGAAAGACTGCTGAATAGGATCAGAGACCATTCCAGTAGTTGTAAATATAGACAATTGCATCCTTCCCTATGAAGTAGGCAAACATTAAAACATTAACCATCTTTGTGGTTATTCCTGAAAAATATGGCAAAGTCAAGAATGAACAAGTGTTTGGCTTAGTATTATTAGAAGCTAATAGATTATTATAGAAGTAACCTATTACTCCAGGGAAAGCTCAGTCAATCAGAGTTTGACAGTTGCTGAACAGAACTCCTGCATGGATACCTGATGCCTTTACTAGTGTTTGTTTAGCAGAGTCTCTGAATACCCACCGACCTGTACGCTCTCACAGAGTGGGTCTCCTCAGGGTGCTGTCAGCCAGACAGTGCCGGCTGGCGACCCCAAGGGGGAGGGCCTTCTCTGTGGGAGCCCCCACCCTCTGGAACGAACTGCCCCCAGAGATCAGGGTGATCCCTGATCTCCCTTCCTTCCGCCGCGCCCTCAAGACGTGGCTGTTCCAACTAGCNAATAAATAAATAAATAAATAAATAAATAAATAAACTACCATTCTGGGGTGCTGAAGAAATATGCCTTCTCTGTTGTGGAGGGGCATATCAATATTGAATTAATATAAAATATTGAAATGGTGTGGATTGGAGTATTCACTCATCCTAATAGAAGCAGTTTTTGGGAAAGATGCAGGAAACAGAGTTTGTAATACTTTCATGGACAATTAAGTCAACACATTGTTTTAGAAATCAAGTGTCACTCTATTCCTAATGACCATCCAGTCATTTTTTATCTCCATTCTTTAAAGTGGCATGAAGTTCATTTAGCTGTGGTTGATGAAATATTTTAAGTGAACTTCAAAGAATAGGGCACTGCCTGGCTTGGTAACTAAAAAGAGTTGTCACACTGATATTTGTCCTGATCACCTGTATCTTTTCTAATACAACAACTGATGAACCAGCTGCTCTCTGTCCACCAGGAAACTATCCTTAGCTCAGGAAGATGAGCAAGAAATTCTTTCTGTTGGCATCCGTAGACAACATTAAGGATAACAGGACTTCAGAGTTTATGCCAATAATTGCTCATGGTTCATGATTCAAGTCATATGACATCAAACATATAGAAAGGAATTAGCAGCATGCTCTGGTAAGAAAGCCTGCTATCCAAAAATTCCTTTCACCTAGCAAAATACAGTGGATCTATTGTGATAAATTGTACACCTAGATTCAAGGTCAGATTTCACTCTGAGGGGGAAAAATTAACTAAGAGAAGAAAAATAACTTGTTCTACAGAGAGCTATGGTAATGATATGCCAGAGCAAACCACAATATTTTAAACTAGAAGTGACATTGTCATTGATCAAGGTATCTTGTGTACTATTACAATAAATTGCTAATTCTTGTGCATTCAGGTAATTGCAGTCATTGTCCAAGGGATTCCAGAGAATGTTCTGCCACCAACAATTATACCTCTAAGTGCAACAGCCTTGCATTTGAGTTGGGTGGCACCAAAGAAGCCAAATGGTTTAATCAGAGAATACCGCATCCATCAAATTGGAAAGGGACTTATATGTACTGGCCCTGCAGACCAGATGAAGCACACAGTCACAGGTAAGAATAGAAAGTTCTTCAAACAAATGACATCACTGTTTTATTTAACTGGTCTTCTTATTTAGCCTGGTTTTTTTTTTAAGACTGCAATCCTTATAGTAAACAAAACCTTTAAGTGAATATATCAGTTGGATTACAATTTCAGAACACAGATAGAGAGTAGCAATTTTTGAACGTATCTACAAATGTTTATTAACCCTTAATTAATAAAGCTTTCCTTATCCTAGTATGATAATAATAATGAATAACAATGATTAATTTCCATTGCCACTACTTGATTTCAAGACAATCACCTTTATAGGAGTATACGGTTGGTTGCCCAATCAGCCAGATGTATAGACAGGATTTGGCATTTTTATCCACCTATTGAGTTCTTCCCAAAGACCTGGGATAGGCAGATGTTGACATGTGATGTCTAAAAACTATCATCACAGGATGTAAACTGCTCCAAGTAAAGTTGCTTTTTGCAATTGACTAGATGATTTTGTCAGTGCTGATGCTGTTCAAGTGGTGCTGCAGAGGTTTTGAGATTATACCCAAGGATCCTATTCCTTCCTGATAAGGACCTAATAAAAAAATGAAGTAAAGCTTCCCTGAAAGCTGACTTATCTGCAGAGAACAAAATCCCTGCCATTGGTACTAATATTTCAGTAAATTGAATTAACAAATCAATTTTATTATGGTGCAGTATCAGATTCCACAAAATACATTGGAGAGAATAGTAATAAGATTGTCCAAGCAATATTTTCCCGAGATCTGAGGAGTCCTTTCTACTGTATTTTGAGCTATTGTGTCTTTCATTAGAAAGTCAGTGATAATTTTTAAAAATTCTTTTGTCAAACTTGAAAAAGATATAATCCAAGATATAACTTCTCATAGCACAAATTCCTGTATTGCGTTAACTTTTGCCTTTCTCCCTAGATTTTAAAATACTTGTATGGCTTTTGCAATAAGTATTATTGGACAGTATGTATGTATGTGTATGGGTAGATACATACTTTCATTTGAGACCAGGCAACAGAATTACATTTTTAATGTGGGCCAGTATGCTCACACTAACAAATGACAATAAAAGTTATCCTATCCTATCCTATCCTATCCTATCATCGTATCTAATCTTTATTGCTTTGAAATATTATTTAGTATAGAACAAAATATGTTAGCCAATTGCAAATGAAAAAATGAAACAAAAGTTCTGCTGAAAATTTCCCATTTGAATCAGTGCCTGGTTAAAAAGCTTAAAAGCAAAAGAACAAAAGGCAATATTTTCCCTTTTACTACAGTTTTGTGCAAAAGTAGGATTTCCCTTTATCCCCAAAGTAAATGTTATAATTTAATGGGGAGGGGTTGAAATGCCATAGCAGCTTCCAATGTATATTTATTCTTTTATACACTTTGGGTTAAAGAAACATCATTCCTTTAATGTACAGGGAACCCCACCCCTTTCACTGATCAAGGCAAATTTGCTTTTTCATCTCAAGGAGTGATTGTGCTCCTGCAACGTAATAATTATTGCTCTGTAAATTCATGATGTTCACTAAATCAACTGTACTTATTTCACATAGCTCAACTGTTTGAACTACCCATCATTCCAGCTCCCATGGGCCTATGTTTTGATTTTCTCATCTTCTTCTAAAACCTCTGCTGTTCCCAGAGCAACAGTTGAACATTAATGAAGCTGTAGCATTAAGCTTTCCCTGAGACTTTGAATCCAAGGGCCTTACAAATTGCAGATGAGGCAGCTTGCACCTTGCCACTGCACCGTTGTCTCAATGCTTATTTTTAATTACATCAAAGCTTTGGAAACATGATCCCATAAATGCTTGGTGGGAATTGTGGTGAATGTGTTCATCATGTGAAATCCATAAATTGCTTATAATCCTCTCAAGATGTTTAAAAAAAGCATTAAGTAATTGAAGACAGGAAGTCCTGAGTTAATTATTCAGAGGTGTTATCAGTGCTTTAAGTAAAATGAAGCATTTTCCACTATCGCCCTGACTTGAATGCCACTGGGATCAAGGGGCACCAGCCATCATCTTCTCATGTTTTCTAATGCAAACAGCAAATGGCAGCTTGTCAATAAAAGACCTTTTTATATCATTTGTTAGTGAACACTTCCAGTATTCTGTACAGAACAATTTGGATGACAGTTATTGCATTGTTTCACTTTGTGTTACAATTCCTTTACAAATAACATTTCTAACACAATGCTAGGAGGATGAGAAGAGACTGAAATATTGGAGGGAGCAGGAGTATTAAAAGAAAACTGAGATTGTCCATTTCAGTATCAAAATCAAAATCAGAAATTCATTTTTCAATGTCTAAGTTTAGATTTTAAGTGTTTCTAGAACTCATGGGATAGATGAAGGAGTAATATTTTTCACTAAGACTTTAATGTTGGTTGAATAGTTTTTGATATATGAATGAAATACATTGTACCCATTTTGTGCCAGAAGATTTTCACAATTATTTTCTTTAATTCCCATGGGGTAGATAAATTCCAAGTGTTATAAAACCAGCAAGAATTCCTATAATATCCTAAGTCATTGTGGCATATGTTTCTGTGGACCAGGTACTAGTTCTTAATTTCAGCACTGCAGGCTTTAACTCATAAAAGATTCGGTAGATAAGTACCTGTATTAAGGATATTTGCAAAATAGATAGAACTGCAAAAGAACACTTCCAGTTTGATGTTGCGATATATGGATGCAGCAAGATGGAGATCCGTCTTCTGCATTCGGTTTTGCCCCGCTGGGGACCCTAAAAAGGATCAAAAGGCACCCCAGAGAGGTGACAAAGAAGGAAGGGATCCTTGTTGATCACGAGAGGGCAGCGGCCCTTCCGTTTGATCTGAGGAAGCTCTCCAAACCAGTGGGGAAAAGATTGGCTACATCCATGTGGCCAGTCAGAAGCTGCTGACAACTGAAGAAATTAAGCACTAAAGAGCAACTTTCGAGCAACATGAATGGAACTGGGTGAGACCCTATTCTCTCTTTATGACTTTAAGACTTTCTCCTTGAAAAAAAACACCAAAGCAAAGAATCCTCCCCGAGGAGAGAGGGAATGGAAATTTCCATCCCATTCCCTCAGGAAAAGAAAAGCGGCGAATTAATTACTTGGGAGAAAACAGAAAATTACAAGATTAATTTGGAATCAATACACACACACATATATATATAGCTTTGAAATTTAGGGACTAAAAGTGCTTTTGAGATTTTTTTGTTAAAAAAAAGAGACTTGAAAAGTTTGTAATATAAGTTTAGACTTAAAAAGCTGGAAGACGGCATCCACGACATCTAGTGGCGAACCACGGCACTATAATTTATTATGTTTAAGGGAAACTTGGCTTGAAGCCCAGACCCAGATAAGACTTTTGTTGTTCTTTGAAACTTTCACTCTTCTACATTGCAGTTGGGTAAAGGGGGAAAAAAACTCTTAGGCTGCTTATCTGTGTGGCAGAGATGATAAACTATTTTGAAACTGGCCAGCCTGGACCACGAATATAGATACTAACTGACTTTTAGGCCTGTGTAGTGAAGCTATTGATCTGTAGAAGAAACATGCATTATGGATTGAGATGATGGAATACTTTGGATTATAAACCTTTGACTGAATTGCTTTTTTCTCTCTGGACAGAAAGGACATGTTTCTCATTGGACAGAAAAACTTCAATTTTGCTTATATTTGCTTAGGGGAGGCTTAAGGATGGACTGGCTGGATACCTTGAAGCTCAAATGAAAATTGACTGGACCTCTTTAAATATACACAAAAATAGAGGAAGAACTACTTGATGATTCAAATGCATTGACTTGAAAAGTTAGTTGGCAAAGGAAGAAAGCTAGAATAAGATTGAAGAAAATATAGGTCCTGACCCATTAGATGGGATATTATACTATTAAAGAGATGCTTGAATATGGCTAAGAGAATAGATAATTGTTAGAAATAAAGTATTATTAGAACTAGAAAGATAGGATTTATAACTAGAATTTTACATTTTGACATGAGAAGAGAAATATGAAAATGCTAAGAAGGTTTGAACAAGGGAAGCCTTTGGTTGCCCAAATATAATTTATTATGAGAAAATTATAAGCAATAGAGACACTATGAACACTGATAGGAAATCAAATTTTTTAAAAAGGATATTAATTGAACAAATGGATATTAAGTGCAAATACAATTGAGATATGTTTTGGTTAGAAAATATATTTTAAACTGAGACTACTGATAATATTAGAAAAATGTAACAAAGATGCTGATATTCAATTGTATATGTATTAACACCATTAAAATTGTATTTGTCCAGTATGGAAAATGTATAACACTGGAAGAAGAGAAGAAGCACTGGATGGTGTAGTATTGTACCTAGACTGAGGAAGTTAATATGTACCACTGAATTACTGATGGACCCAGACAACACATTTTTTAAGTACCTATTACTGTAAAACTAGAAAATTAATAAAATACTTATAAAAAAAGAACTGCAAAAGAAAAAAGTCTAACTCTCTGCATTAAAAATCTTGGTTATTCAGTAAATTGCACCAATGAGCTTATCACAGATTGTAAGATCTAGCATGTTCATCTATTTTCTTTAAAGAGTGAGAGATGCCAAACATGCAATCTGGAAGGATGCAAGTATAGTTGCTTTCTCAAATTTTTCATTTTTCAGAACATACCCTCTAGAGTTATCAGCCCAGTTTCTAAACATTCCTATGCTCATAAAGAAATTTCAAGAGTTGGTATTTTAAAGGGATGGGAGAGAAAAAGAGAGGAAGGTCTCATTGGCTGCAACATTAAGCCATGAACTGGTTTTACAAGAATTAGCCACAGTAAGGCATTGGCTTATATGCTCTCTCCCATATCTTTTAAATTAATTGCTTCTTGAGACTCTAGAAAGGGTGCAGAGAAGAGCAACAAAAATGTTTAGAGGACTGAATGCTAAAACCTATGAAGAATGGTTACAGGAATTGGGTATGACTAGTTTAATGAAAATAAGGACTAGGGGTGATATGATAGCAGTGTTCCAATATTTCAGGGGTTGCCACAAAGAAGAGGTAGTCAAGCTATTCTCCAGAGTACCTGAAGGCAGGACAAGAAGCAATGGATGGAAACTAATCAAGGAAAGAACCAACTTAGAACTAAGGAGAAATTTCCTGACAGTTAGAACAATTAATCAGTGGAACGACTTGTCTCCAGAAGTTTGGGTCTTCCAACATTGGAGATTTTTAAGAAGAGACTAGACAACCATTTATCTGAAATGGTATAGAGTTTCCTGCTTGAGCAGGAGGTTGGACTAGAAGACCTCCAAGGACCCTTCTGTTATTCTGTTATTTTTGTGACATCAAATGGGGCCAAACTGTTATTTTTCTTCTCCAGAAAAAAGCCAATTGTGGACTATAGAAATTTATGAAGCTGGTTTGTTTCAGCAAATCATAATTAACAAGAATATGAATGTAGACTTCAGCCAACTGATAAATTACCATTAATTAAAAATAGAAACAAAGGTTTCTGATCTTTTCCTCATGGCCATACCTCATGAGAAGCAGCATGGGGACTTAAGAACCTGAGTTTAACCTGAGTTTAAGGGTTAGTCAACTCATATTCTTCATTCTGCAACATTAAGGCAGAGATTGGTTTTATAAGAATGTAATGTACAGCTAATGTAGTATTTTGTCTGACAATTACCAAAGAAAACAAAGAAAATAATTTTCAAAGAGAGACTATGTCCTGACTATTCATTCTGTTTTCCCCATAATTTCTCCAAAGAAATATTTCTTATTTATTTTTATTACTATAAAGCTTATACCGAAACTTCTCTAGAAATTCAAGAGGCTTATGAAATGACAATTATAGAGGAAATTGGGACATTCGTTGTTATTTGAAAAAAGACTGGAGACGAGACAAGATACTGTATTTCTATCAGAATGCATTAATTCAAGCTTCCACAGAATTAATTCCATAAAAAAATTCAAAGGAGGCAAACTTTATGCTGGAAGAGATCCTAACTTCTAAGTTACTTTTAATAAGCAAAATAATCCCCACTTCAAATGTTATCAGTTCTATGGTGAAGTGATCTTAAGTAAGCCACTATTCCTCTGATTCGTTCTCTGACTGGAATAATATTGCCTAACCTTATCTGAATGTTCTTAAGGTTTACTGTATAATGTGTATGAGATATTTTGTATTCATCTTCATCATGATCATCACCATCACCTGTATTAAAACTCAGTATTGGTTTTATAGAATAGGAACCTTCTCAGTTATGAAATATAGTTATATCAATTACAATGTTCTCTAATCTCTAAGACAGTACACAAGTTAGCATGAAATTGGTTGAGGCAGGTGATTTTCTTTCTTTATATAAATTCCTTATATACTTATTGTGTAAGGAAAAGCTCTACACAAGAGGAGGGTGCTATTCAAATCTGTTAGAGATAGCATGCTGAATTAAAGCGGTGTCCCAGGTTTCCTTGAAAAGAAGAGTTCTTTGTTAATGCTGTTAAATGCAGTGGCTAATAATTTCATAGGAAAAAGAATGCTTAAAACACAAGTGCCTAAATAGAACTTTTCTTAGATGTTGAGTATTTTCAGCAAGAATGCAGAATTAAAAAGATTTTAAAGCTTCTTCCAGGCTAATTTATCTCTACAATTTAAAGGAGGCTAATGAAACAATTTTTTTTAAAAACCCTAATGAAATTTCTCAAGTTCTCATGTCTAAAATTTTAATGTGAGAATTATTATAAACCTTATTCATGTACTGAGGCTCGTAAACAGAAATGAACAAAATTGTGATCCAGACTCCCTTGTTATCACTATGTTTTAATATCAGATGAATAAACAGCAAAAACAGTATGCTTATCCTTAATGCATTTAGTGCAATATAAACTTCTTTGTCTGCCTTTTATTTTTATTTTTCTTTCTCTCTATGGTATACTGCTGTAAATTAATCTTGCTTCATAATAAATGTTTCTTTTTAGTAGTGAATTAAATGATTCACTTTAAGAGCAATTGAAGTTACCTATTGCTAGAGTAATCTGTCCAATAGCGAAATGAGGTTGCCATCTAACCAGTTTTAGACAAAGTGCTATTCCTTACGGGTGTTTTTTTTCTTCTCTTTCTCTTCTCATCATAAAATTGCATATTTTTTTTTACTTAAAGTAGTTGCAATGCAAAGATAAGAAAGAGCTGGATCCCTCAATGACAAAAACAAGGAAGATTAGGAAAGAATAAAATGAGAGCAGAAGTCTAACAGCAGTTTTGCAGCTTATAATAAAGAAAATCAAGAAGCTTTCCTTTCTTGATACTACTTTTTGAAACATATGCATAAGAAAGAACAGATATCTACATATTTATAAATCAATTTTCAAAGGTTATGTTGAATCTTACAGTGTTTTATGGTAGAGAAATTCTGAGGCATGTTCACAAGGAACAAAAGGAGATAATTGTGAATTAGGGGTAAAGAAATAGGAGAAAACTTCTAAAACTGGTACTGAATGGAAAACGAGAATGCATTTGGGAAAATTCTATCAGACATTTAATGACTATAAAATAAATAGTTCCACTTAAAAAAATCTGTTAGATCCATTCCCTAAAACTGGAGACATGCAAGTCTACATACAAAAGCTAAACATACCTATTTTATGGAATTGGTAAAATAGTTAAAAGTAGTGGCAACTTTTGTTTGAATTTAAAAATGACAAGGAAAAATAACAGATACTTGGCTGCCACTGAATGAAACGTGAGAAACAAGAGGAGTGGTATATTTTTAGGAAAAAATCAGCACTGGAAACTCTTTTGACTTTAGGCTCTGCTTGTGGTTTCTTAGAGGCAATTGGCTGAAATACTTATGATCACTTTTGGAAAATCATGGATGCTTTAAAAAAAAAAGTGAAGTTATATCACTTTATGATATATGAAGATTTAGCTCTCTGAGTAGCACCATGAATCTGTTGTAGCCCTTGAACTAATTTCCAACCCTTTTCTCCTAAGAAACAGAATCATTCAGTGATTATCTGCTCCTGCCCTGTAATGTAATTCTCGGAGAAAATAGGGGAAATCTTATTCATATTTGTCTCTAATTTCAGCCACTATTTGCTTCTCCCATGTGGCTGCTAACAAATTACTTTGAAGGGAAGGTAACAGGAAACAGGTTGCCACATCTGATTTCTTATTGAAGAAAAATAATATTTTTGATTACTTTGTTCATTTTCAGCATTCTCTATGATCCCTGATACCCAAGTTAGTGATTATGTTTATATAGTTTGTGTTAAAGTTCCAGATGATGATGAGCTTATTTGCTTAATCGAGTCCGACTTCTGACAATTCTGTGGGCCAGGTTTCTCCATATATTCTAATCTTGCAGTTTCTTTGAGTTTTTCTATGCTCTGGCTGGTAGTATCCAGCCATTGTGTATTTTGATGGCTTGGTTTCCTTTTACCATTGAACATCCAAGATTTATGAATAAACATTCAGATACAATTTTAAAAAATCATGAATGTAAATGTATTGGGTTAAGTGTGTTCTATTATCTCTCTCATAGAACTCTAACCTAAAGCATATCTGAAGGTTTCACTTTTTATATTTATTTAGATCTTCAGCCTTATGAAAACTACAATTTCACACTCACAGCATGTACATTTGCTGGATGCACTACCAGTCAGACAACTGCAGGAAGAACATTGCAAGCTGCTCCTCAAGGTAAAAACTAATTTATTAACCTTTAAACCATTTATATATGAGAACTATACTCAGCGCACTATATCTAGGCACTGATTTTCAAACAAAAACAACTCCTCAACTCCTTGTTTGTTCAGCCAAAGAGGAATTATCTTCAGATGGAGCTAAGCAGAAAAATTGAAGAAAGGATGGAATGGCAGTCCAAGGTAAATAAAGAAAAGTTTAGAGAGCATCTGCCTAACATTCTTAGTCATAAGCCACCTAGAGACATTTGAAAGTTGGACAATCTATAAATTAAGTGAAAGACAGGAAGACAGGAAGGAAGGAAGAAAGGAAGGAAGAAGGGAAGGAGGGAAGGAAGGAAGGGAGAGAGGGAGGGAGAGAGGGAGGGAGAGAGGGAGAGATGGAAGGAGGGAAGAGCAATAGAAGTGAACATACAGAGGTGGACACTTAGAAATAATCCTTATTTACAGACCATTTAAAAGAGGCTATTAAAAAGCTAAGAAGGGAAACAAAAGACCAGAACAACAACCAACAACCACATAAGTAGAGATTAACACCAGACAATCAAGCAGAAAGCAATAACCTAATCAAGCAACTACCAAGGACAAACCACACCCACACCAAGACTGGCAGGGAGCAAACCTCATAATCACTAGCACTGACAATGTTACCTAGTCAGGTAATGAAACATCTGGGGAGAAAAACATAAAGTGTAAAGTGTAAACCTCCAGAACTCCACATAATATTATAGGCAAGAGAAAGATCTCAAGCCCTTTTGCCAATTAATTTGATTTTCAGCAATTTCTTTACCCACATAACCCTGAATAATGCACTTTGTCACTGTAACTGTGTATATGGGATTAATTAATGGGAATGCACTGAATGATGGTCAATGATGATAAAAAGGAGTGAAAAAATTTCATATATGTAACCAATCTCCCATAAATTGAGACTACGGAATAAGGCCTAACTTTTGTCAACCACTCCCTTTGAAGTATTTGTTTTAGATTTTCTTTTTATTGTTTTTGTAAACTTCATTGTGACCTTTTTCCAAAATCAAGATATAAAACTTATAAATGGCTAACTATATTCCCAGCCAATTGATATTTATGTAATGCTACTGACCACGTCCTCTTACATTGATCCATATTAAAATAAAGTGTGCTGAGACATATCTTAGTCAATCCAATTAGTTCTGTAAAATGTGCTAATGAACTGGCCAAGAACCAATACATTTAACTTTAGTTCACGCAAGACAGGCTGGACTGCAGAGCCCCCCCTAAAAAAAACTATGTCCTTCCTAAAACAAGTAGAGATTGGAGGTATCTCATAATGTGTTACTAGCATAAGCTGCCTCTGTGGCACGAGATAAATTCGCCTCGTGTAAACTGGTAGCACTTTGTGTAAGTAAAGCTAAGTGAGCCGCCTTGGGCTCATAACTTCATATACTTTTTACTTTCACACTACAGCAGACTGTTTTGATTTGGAAATGTGAAATTTCTTTTAGTGATAGTTCAGAAAGATGCAACTGCAAGCCTGTTAATTAGGACATCATATTTTGGTAATTTTTTACAGAATCTATATAGGCTGCCATGTACACTAAGATCCTCAAAATTTGATCTTATTTTGTCTATTTTTTCTGAGGCATGCAAATGTTAAGAGTGGAAAAGCCTTATTCAGTTGTGATCTGACATCTCTCCCAAGCAAACTTCATCTAGTTATTACCTTGATGTCGTCTAATAACTAATCAAACATTTATTTTTTTCTGGAATGCTAATCTTTTGTACACTGGTTGAATGATGATTAGTGAATTTTGTATTGCTATATAGGTCTGTTATATTATGTACTTTAGTACTTTTGCTGTAGTTTAATATTACCTGAAGAAGGCAGAAGATAATTTTAAGGTTGAAGGTTAACTTTAAGTAAAATTTAATTTATGAAAAATTAGTAATTCTAAAGAAGAATCTGAAATGAGCTTAGTTTTTTTGTTATGTGTTAACATATATTTGCATTTTAATACATTTATAAAATTAAATATATACACATATTATTATAAACACACTTTTGCTAATGTAATTGCAGGGGTGTGGTCACAGCCTCGTCATATTACAGTAAGCTCTAAAATATTGGAATTGTATTGGGATGAGCCAGAAAAAACCAATGGAATTGTCATTCAATACAGATTATTTTGTAATGGAGAAGAGATTTTCAAAGGTGGTAGAGAAAATCTGAATTTCACTCATTCTGCCATGCAACCAAATAAAAGGTAAAATGTCACTTATTTGAGAAAGGATGTTGTTTATTTTTTTTTTTACAATATATATTGAAATACCATACTTTAACATATGCTGGGGCTTAACCCGAGGACTATGTAAAGATGTAGATTTGATGGGCAAGATATCATTTGGAACACCCATGGGCAGGCATTTAGCACCCATTGAGAATACCTTAAATGAAACATGTCCTTTCCAAGGATCCAGTACCTGCTGTAGATGGCAGCCACACCAGCCCAGGAAAAGATAAACTGTTTTAGGAGCTTCCAGTTGGGGCTCCATGCATGCCTATGTGTGTTCCACATCACATTAAGCTTTTGAATCAGGATCTCTGCGCAGCCTAAATTGTTGGCCCAAGCATGAATGTCTCATGTAAATTAACATTGTAATCAAAATGACACTGAATACAGTTCCCCATGAACTTCACATAAAGATACCTACATGGATTATGGAAAACATGTCTTACAGGTAACTAATAATTAGCCCATTGGGCCTTCCAGAAGAGCTTTCATCTAGCCACAATTAGGTTAATACAAGTCTACAATTTCTAGAATTATATTTCAGCATATGCCATGGTAGGTTTCGGCTGGGATTTATTTTCCTAGTCTAATCTATAGCCTGCTGGGTCAAAGTGGTTCTCTGTTCACATGTTAACCATAACTGATCCAGCCTAATTTCTACATTAGCCAGAGCTATTTCCATCCATTATGATCAATTAATTATAACTATCATATTGTAATATTTTTAATTAAGCCATGCAAAATGTTCAGCCATACAATCATACCACTACTGTTGGTTTTGCATTACAAATATGCTGTTTTGTCAATCCAACTATAGCTACCATGAATAGATATGTTTTTGTTTCGGAAACACCATTTTAAAAAATAGTGCATGAAATAAAGGAAAGACAAGATTGTGACACAGATTACGGAAGTTTTTTTTCCTACATATACACATAGGAAGTACAATTTAGTACAATTAGCTTGTTAGATATTGATTTGTAAGATTTACATCCCATCTTTCATATAGGAGCATAAATGTCAGTATGAATAATGTTTCCTTCTCCAGTTTTTTTTCCCTACAACCACCCTTTGAGATAGTTTGATCTGAGAGATAGTGAGTAAAGTCCCTCAGGCAGAATAGCTGTTAAGCAGGTCTCCTTGATCCTTGTCCATCTTACACTATACATATGTATGATGGCCAATGAATAAGCACTTATTTCAAGCACCTGCTCTTAATGCATAACTACAAAATAGATAGATTAGACTCTCTATATTGAGAGAGAGAGAGAGTCACATGATATTCATATAAATGTTGGACATTACATCATGTTGAAATATGATAAATGTAATGAATACTAAAATAATTATAAAATATCTTTATATTCCTAGCTTTGTTTCTTCTTGTCATTTCTCTCCCCTTCATGTGTATTTATAGATATGTTTACCAGTTAGAAGCCAGTACATGGGTTGGTAGCAATATCAGTGAAAAATATGTTGTCCAGACACCAATAACAACACCGGAAGAGATTCACATACCATATAATATCACAGTAATTAATGCATATTCCATATTCGTAGCATGGGACATTCCTGGTAAGCATATATATTAATATTCAGAAGATCTTATATAACTTATGTATCTGTTTCCATTATTTATTATTTTCTCTGCTTGGTTCCCATTATATAAAAAAGCAGACTTGGAAGCTGTATTGATGCAAGGACATATCCTAAGGCAGATAATAGGAAAGATTATCAAGTCCATATAGCAGCAATAGACAACCGCCTTTTGTATTTTTCTACTTTAGGCATCAAAATGATTTAAGTCATCTGTAACAGATGATAAACTAATTAATGAAATAATTAAGCAATAAAATCAGCTATACTCTGTTCAAATATAAAAGATGCCATATTATGGATTTAATTTAATGATGGACATTGAGTTGTACTAGTAGTTTTATCTTTAGTCTGTTTTAGTTTTAATTAACCAATTTATTAAAATTGGTTTTAGAACAGGGTGAAACAGTCACTGACAACCATGCTTCTTTTTGTTTCCTGTTCTACTGAATGCAATATATATTAAACCATTATGACCAAAAATTAAACACAGATTGACAGAAATTCAGAAGCAAAGATAAATAAATCCTAGATTCCTTGTAAGGAGAAGTAGCATTGCAAGATGATGAAGATAGAAGAGAGAGAGAGAGAGAGAGAGAGAGAGAGAGAGAGAGAGAGAGAGAGAGAGAGGTTTTAAATGATTCAGGATAGATTCAAGATAATCAAAACAAGAATTATATGTTTTGTAAAATATAATTATTTGCCCATTATGGAAAACATACACTCATTATGTGCTTTAGTTATGTTTATAAGTAATATTGTTATTTATTTTAAAAAGTAATGTTGATATATAACAAATTAGCTTGTTTTTAATTTAGGACTTAAAAAAAAGTCTATTCACTTCTGTTCTAAAAATATTCAAATATATTGATATGTATAGCTAAAACATGATAAGCATTTTAATATTCAGTATTTATCCCAAACTATTTAAAATATTTACATCTTGCACAAAGATCACTGGATGAGAAGATAATATAAAAACATTAAATATAAAGTTACCAGATAAACATTTACATGCATGCTTGGAATAGTAAATGTTACTGTATGTCCATTGAATCAATTCTTAATAGATCTATAATATCCTGAGCTGTCAATCTTTTAGTTTTCAGAAGCACAAAATCCATTATAGAAATGCTATAATATATGAAAAAGATTAAAATCTTAAATTAAACTCACTCCCGTCTACCCGTACTGCCTAAAAGGATTTATAAACCCAAGAGAAGGTGGATGCATTTGACTTATAATCTACAGCTGATTTCACTGGAAAGTGTTCTGTACTGTCTCAGTTCTGATAATCAGTTTCTGTGAAAGCTTTGAATATTCACTCTAACAGTCCAAACCCTATGCAGATCTGGACCTAGCTAAAGTGATTCTGTGTGGAATTCTTTTGTGTGAACAAGTTGTTTACATAAAGAATTTTTAATTAAAAAATAGGCAACCAGACATTTCACGCAAACATCTGGATGATCTCAATATATATAGAATCCCTGCTACCATTTTCAAGACATCTGCATTAACGCAATCTTTATATGGTATCCCTGCTCAAAAAGGAAAGCTAAGTTCTTTTGGATCAGAATAAAAATCTCCCTGTGTTCTTTCCTTTCGCTTTCATCTGCTGGAATTGATATGTTTTAAAGATAAGAAATTACAGTAAATTGTCACAGTTTAGGGCACATTGCCATGCAGGAAGTGAATGTAAAATATCTGAGGCTAGGGATATGGGAAAAGATAATTACAGTCACCTGTCATCGTTTGTTTTCTTTTATGCACTTCCTGGAGTGTCTGACAAAGACACAGATGGGGGCACTATAGGATCCTGGTTTGATCCAAGATTTCTCTGTACTTAGACACGTTAATAACATTTGAAACAGAAACTTGCCCATCACTTTAAATGGACAGTCATATTAACAGCATTTTTCTATGGGAAGTGAAAAACAAGACTGATAAGAAGCTCTTGCTTAGAAATTAATGTACTTAGTAAGTACAGCATAGTTCATTCACACATCAATAATTCAACCCTATCATTGACATGTGAAACAGCTGATAGCCATGTGTATTTGCAAAGCTTGTATGGATTCCCTGCAACATTGAACAGTATTTTAAAAGAAGAACTTAACAGAATAACAGAGTTGAAAGGGACCTTGGAGATCTTCTAGTCCAACCCCCTGCTCAGGCAGGAAACCCTATACCATTTCAGTCAAATGATTGTCCAGTCTGTTCTTAAAAATCTCCAATGTTGGAAGACCCACAACTTCTGGAGACAAGTCATTCCACTGATTAATTATTCTAACTGTCAGGAAATTTCTCCTTAGTTCTAGGTTGGTTCGTTCCTTGATTAGTTTCCATCCATTGCTTCTTGTCCTGCCTTCAGGTGCTTTGGAGAATAGCTTGATCCCCTCTTCTTTGTGGCAACCCCTGAGATATTGGAACACTGCTATCATGTCCCCCCTTGTCCTTATTTTCATTAAATTAGACATACCCAATTCCAGCAACTGTTCTTTATATGTTTTAACCTTCAGTCCCCTAATCATCTTTGTTGCTCTTCTCTGTACTCTTTTTAGAGTCTCAACATCTTTTTTACATCATGGTGACCAAAACTCGATGCAGTATTCCAAGTGTGGCCTTACCAAGGCATTGTAAAGTGGTATTAACACTTAATGTAATCTTGATTCTATCCCTCTGTTAATGCAGCCTAGAACTGTGTTGGCTTTTTTGGCAGCTGCAGCACACTGCTTGCTCATATTTAAATGATTTTCCACTAGGACTCCAGGATCCAAGAATCCAAATAACGTATTCATAATTACTCTTTTATTTTTTT